TCTCCTCTCTTCTCCCCTCCTCCTCTCCTTTCCCTCTCTTCTCCCCTTTCCCTTTCTTATTTATTTATTTATTAAAACATTACTACTGTAATGACTTTAGTATTTTAATAAATCAAAACCAAAACCAAAACCAAATTATATAATCAACTCTTAAACCATCTATCTATCCATCCATCTATTCATCCATCCATCCATCCATGCATCTCATCTATCCATCCATCCATCTATTGATTATCTTTTTTAAAATAGACAAATATATTATACTATGTTACACCTTACCTTATCTCATATCATCTAATATCATCTCATATTATCTCATATTATCCATTCCGTTCCATTCAAGTTCCATTATATTGTATTCTATCTCCCCTATTCCATCTCATCTCCCATCCTCTCTTCCCTCTTCCCACTCCCCTCCCTAAACCAAAAAAAGAAGGCAAAACCATAGTGGAAATATATATCAATATCAAGAAAAGCTCACACCTCATACACTCATACCCCACCCACCTCATACCTCACCTCATACCTCACCTCACACCTCACCTCACACCTCACCTCATCCTATCACCTCATACCTCATACCCCCCTCACAAATAAAACCAAAACCAAAACCACGAACCAATCTCTTCTCCAAGTCTCTTCTCCAAGTCACTTCACTTCACTTCACTTCACTTCACTTCACTTCACTTCACTAATCTATCTGTACATAAAAACCCTCATTTATCTCCTTCAGATTCATAATTTCATTGAGATCTATATTATGCAATGCCTTATACCCACCATCTACTTAAGTATTTAGTCCAAGTATGGTATTCTATCCTGTCCTATCCATATCCTATGATATCCCTATGCCTATGCCTATCCCTATTGCTATTGCAATCCCAATCCCAATCCTGCCTATTTTATCAAGCAAATCTAAATCCAAATCCAAATCCAAATCCAACCCATCCCTACTTCAACCTCCCAAAGCCTTCGCTCGTATTCGTCTCATTCCCCCAATCCTTACTATCCTTCCAACCCGTCTCAAAACCCACCTCTCCATCCCCCCTAACCACCTTCCCGCGATCCCACTCCCTCCCCTCCCCCTTTCTCCCCCATTTAACATCTTCCTCCCTCTTCTCCCCCAACCCTCCCCTCTCCCACTTCTTAACTTCTTCTTCCGAGAACCCTGCATCGCGTAATCTATTAGCTCCCTGCGTGTGCCATTTTTGTCGATCGCGTAAAGCTTCTAGCGCTTGATCCCAATCATCTTCTTGGGCCGCTCCCTCCTCTAGTTGCACGTCACTTTTTGGATCGTAGTCGGCGTGGAAACGGGAATCCATTGCAGATGTAAATCCGATGGAGGAGATACCACGACCAAGGATACGAAGGGGTTGTTTTTCGTGGGCGGGACGGGGGCCGATTATGGAGTCTAGAGGATCGGAATCGGAATCTTGTTCGGGTTCGGGTTCTGGCTGTCTTTGGTGACGTGATGATGAATGTTTATGTGGTTGATGGGTGGATCTTCTTCCGTCATCTGAGGTTGGTGAGAGGGAGCGCTTTCGTTTGCGTTGAGGTGAGCGATCTCTTTCCCTAGAACCTGATTCTTTAATGCGATGTTCTCTCGGTGAACGTGATCTTTCTCTGTGTCTCCTCCTCCTCTCGTTCCTTGTGTTCTCTCTATCTTCTGAAGTACTTCGTCTTCTTCTATGTTCTCTTCGCTGGGTTTTGTTGTCATCCTCCCCCGATTCATCCTCCTGGTGTCTTTTTCTCCCATCCTTAGATCTTCGTTTATCGCCACTGAGTACCTCGTCTTTATCTTGGTCTCCCATACGCCTGGACTCCCTCCTTCGATGACTTATCAATTCCGCAGAAATATCGACATCTTTCCTCCAACTTCGATGATCATTATCCACCCCATCTCTTGATATCCGTGCCTTTATATTTTCCACCCCCGCCCTCTCCCCCAAACTCGCCGTCCCCTTCCCATCACCCTCTCTACTGGAATCTTCCCGTTTCCTCTTCACCGGACCCCCCAAAATCGCCTTGATGTCCCCCAATTGTCTCCTCCTAATATCCACCGGCGCAACTTTCTTCTGTTTTTCTCCATTTGATAAACTCTCCAGCCTAGCTCGTGCCTCTGCTGCTTCTTTGGCTAGTAATGCGCTATTATGATTATCCGTATCTCTTATGATGTTTCGCAGAAAACGGGTATTGGGTTTGGGTTTATTGGCAGGTGGTTTAGATTCTTTGGCGTATGCTTCAAGACCCATGGATGAGTATTTGATGGAGCTGGCTTTTGCATCTTTGGCTAGGAGATCGGCGACGTAGTCATCGGTTAGGTAGGTATTGTTTGCCATGATTATGATGGGTTGCGACTATGGTATAACGGTGAAGAAAGATGACGGCAGATGTAGATGAAGTGAATAGTGAGAAATGATTTATATTCTCACAATATATAGCAGATTCGAAAAAGAGAAAGATGAGATGTCGAAAATGAAGAAACAAGTAGAATATAGATTGAATTGGAGAAACAAATGGAGTTTGGATGTGTACTCGAGTACCGGTAGTGTAGTGTGTGAAGTAGTAAGTTTTGGGAGCCTTGCGGTTGCTATCGTATTTTCTGAGATATGATATGTGGACCCCTTAGATGGACTAATTGAGACTATTTATTAGCGACTGACGCTAAGAGCAACTCAGATTATCCAAAAATGGGTGTGACTTTATATAATCATCGATGACCGCCCGGCAGAATATATCAAAGTAAACAATGCGACAACCCCTCCGACTTCCAAAACCCCCAATACCGATCTACAACTGCAGACAAATCAATTAACAGAGATATTACTTTTACAATATTTCAAGCGATCTTTGTGTTCTCCCAGACACATTATCATTTTACCATACTCGCAATATCACGAAATATCTTATTGTAAACGAATCTACACCCTCACACAACATGGCGCAATCACCACAAAGCACTCTCACCACCCTTCACAAACTTCAAAAATCCCATGAACTCAGTATCATAAAATTGAGCGAACCAATTTCAGCTCCCTTGAAACCAGGCGATCGCACATCCAATGGCTCCGCAGCAGATTCTCTCGAGAACCCCTCTCCTGCAAGTCTCGAAGCTGATTTGGCGCATTATAAAGTAATTCCTACCCTTTCTTCGACTTACTCATACTCATACATTCGCCTATCTTTCATTTCTTTGCTGCATGAGATAGGATGAGATATCTCACCTAAACCTAAAGAGCCCATACTAATACCCTCACCCCAGGAACTCTTCTCCAAACTCCGCTTCTCCTACCTCGAACAAGTTACCAAAGAAAAGTTTATCCGCGCCATTGTCGGTGATCCCCCCCTGGTAGTCGAACATCAAAAAAACATCGATTTAGAAGCTACTCTCTTGCACTCCAAAGCCTCTTTGAAAGCGCAAAAAGTCGAGGTTGCGGAACTGGTGGATGAGCTGGAAAAGAGGGGACGAGAACTGTGTCGAAAACATGAACACATACAATTGCAGACGAAACAATTTGCAGATCTACCCAAGAAAATCGAAGGACTGGAAGATAGTATTCTGAAATTAAAAGAGGAACAAAATTGGGTGTCAAGTGAAGAAGGAAACCATCCAAATCTCCGATTAGGTCTTGACAAAACTCGAGAATTGGTAGAAGTGAAAGAAAAAGAGAGGAGGGAATTAGATCGACAGTTGGAACAATTACAAGTACTTGTTCCGAGGAAAACTAAAGAGGTCGATAGGTTGAATGCGGAATTGCTGCCATTAGAGGCGAAGCGCACGATGAGTGTGGCGGCGGCGAGGGAGGCGAAGAGGAGGAAGGAGGAGGTTGCGGGGGGTGTAGGGGATGATTTGGAGGAGAGGGGAAGGTGGTGGAGAGGGGTGGAGGGGGGATTGAAAGGGATGTTGGGGGTGGGTGAGTTATCGTAGGATTGGGTTTGAGGAGTTTGGGATTTTTGTGCTTTGGGGAGGGTTGTTGGGATTTTGGGATATTGGGGGAGTAGGGCGAAAATGGCTTCGGAGTTTCTTTGATTTGGAGGAGGGAATTGGGCTGAGCTGGCTTGGGAGATATAATTATTGCAAATCAATTGAGAAAAGCAATATCGAGGAAATTTAAATCATCGAATCATCATCGTATTCTCCACAACGCATGCACGCATACTTATTAGTCGATCTGCAAATCATTTTCTAGAAAAATTCAATACGAGTATTAGAGAGAGTGAGGAGTGAGGAGTGAAAGAGTAGAGTCTGAATTTGAGAGGTTAGGTTCTATTAAAGTTTACTAATCAATTAACTGGTTCAAGGGAGAAGGGAGAATGGAGAATGGAGAATGGAGAATGGAGAATGGAGAATGGAGAAGAGAAGGGGAAAATGAAGATTTCTTATATACTTTCTCTATAGACTCTTAGTCTTAGACTTTAGACTGAGCTAGAGTGAGTATACAAGTAAATATAGTATGTATACTCGTTAAATTCGCTTATTCAATATTCGCTTATTTATTATTCAGTATTTAATATTCATGATTCACTATTTATAATATACTATTTAGTATTCATGATCCATTATTCATTACTTAAATACTCGGTATTCATTATTCACTACTCGAGTATTCAATATAATACTATATCTACATACTATCATCTAACCAATTCCCATCCTATCATATATACACTTACACACACACACACACACTCTCTCTCTCTCTCTCTCTTCACAAACATTTATATAAAATAATATTATCCCATCTCATTCCATTCCAATTTATCATATATTACTCACTCACTCACTCATTTATTCACTTATTTACTCACCCATTCACTCACTCACCTACTCACCTACTCACCTACTCACCTACTCACTAACTCACTAATATCTCACTCACTTACTAGATACTCACTCACTTCATATAAAGAATTATATTCTTATATTCTTTCTTCCCCTCTTCTCTACTTCCCTCGTCTACAATCATCCCTCTTTATCCCTCCACCTAGAACGCATCATATCAAATCGTCTAATCTCATCCCATCTCATGCCATCCCATCCCATCCATCCAAACCAATATTCGTACCATCACCATCACAATCACAATCACTATAACTATCACTAACTAACATAAAATACAGTACAGTATTAAACAGTATTAAATACAACTCTCCCCTTCCTATTCCTATTCCCATTTCCATCTCCATTTCCCTTTCCCTTT